AAAATGTTCTAGCCGAAGCATCAGGGGAGAGACCAGCCGGCCCCCAGACCATATCGGCTAATCCCTTGCATCTCTGCCACGCACGGAATCGGTTGAAAGAAGAATACGAAGCCTTGTTTAGTCATTTTAACATTAAACCCATGTACAGTATTATCATAAATAATTGACCAACACAACAAAGCATGAGAAGTCTGCGTTTTTGCCTTCCTTGGTCAATATAAACAAATTATAACTTGTGCCATTGGAAATTTTGTTGACGGAACTGAGCCTAGAACCCAGTCTTTTTGGGAAGTGCTGGTCGCGTAAGAAAAATGAATTACGAAAATCCAGGGCCGGGTTGTTCAAAGCTGGATTAGCGCTAATCCATGATTAACTCTCTATAGGTCTTATCAAGAGTTAACCCAGGATTAGCACTAATCGGGCTTTGAACAACTGGGCCCTGGAGATCTCGAGGAACGCACGCAAAGGATTGTTGTAGTTGATCAGGCGGTCCTAGTTTCACTTGTTTAGCGGCGAACAAAGAACTATCATTTCATGATAATTTTATAAAAGAATCGAAACCACACGCACAATTTTCCCCATAGGATTAATAATGGGTAGAATTTTAAATGTATTGCTAGTTCATAACGTAGCTAGGGAAGCAAAGATTCAGAGTATTTTTTTCTGACTTCGGTCGCCATGTTTTTTTCGATGGACCGCCTGATCAGATTTCTTCCTGCGCGATGATTGGCTGGTTTTTGATCGGCTATCAAAACGAGATGACCTGGATAGGACAAGGTCTTTCTTATGCGAAAGGATTCCCAAATATCTTGTAGAAACACCAAAATTTGTAGTTAGTAGGAAAACGTTAACAGTGCGGACGTGCTGGTTGCATAACAAAATGATTTACAAAGAGAGGACAAGGTTTGATTGGTTGACTTTGTAAGGGTGGCCAGTATTGTAATCAGTCATCAACGCCATGCATCCCACACGCCACCGCGGTTATTAGGATTTGCAGCGGGGTCGAAATTCTTATTTCGTATTGGCACCATGTCATTCTTGTACTTCTCAAGCCACTGCAACATGTTTTGGAGTACTTCAGGGTGGTTCTTAGCTTGGTTTACGTATTCACATGGATCACTTGAAAGATCGAACAGGCAGGGCCCAGTCTCCTTGGTACATTGAACGGTCAATGGTGGAGGCTTGGTGCATGTTACCACTGCGTTCTTTAGGGTGGTGGGTTTGGGTTGTTTTTGGGTGGCCTCRAGGCCTGGTGGTGGATACCAACCACTCCATCRTGAAGCTGAAAAGTATGAATGAAAATATGCAATACATTTGGAGCTGTGAGTTAGCCGTGCCCGTTTTAGATCGACCCAGAGGTTGTTTCAGGATTAGATCAATTTGAAGGAAAAGAATGAGTCAATGGATGGATGGATGGGTG